TAGGAGCTGTATCGGTGAAGAAATTGCTTCGGCATATGTCTGAGATTTTGTTGCCTTTGGATTCCTCTAGTATTTTTATGGTTTCCCGTCTTACATTTAAGTCCTTTATCCATTTTGAGTTTATTTTTGTGTATGGTGTGAGTTGGTGGTCTATTTTTATTTTTTTGCATGTATCTGTCCAAGTTCCCCAACACCATTTATTAAAGAGACTGTCTTGACTCCATTGTATGCTCTTGCCTTCTTTGTCAAATATTAATTGAACTAATGGCTTGGGTTGATTTCTGGGTTCTCTGTTATTTTTCATTGGTCTATATGTCTGTTCTTATTCAAGTACCAGGCAATTTTGAGAACAGTGGCTGTGTAATATAGCTTGGTATCTGGTATTGTGATCCCTCCAACTTTGTTCTTCTTTCTCAGGATTGCTGTGGCTATTAGGGGTCTTTTTTTATTCCATATAAATTTTTGGAGAGTTTGTTCTAGGTCTGTGAAATATTCCATTGGTATTTTAATGGGGGTTGCATTGAATCTATAGATTGCTTTGGGTAGTATGAACATTTTAATGATATTGATTTTACCAATCCATGAACATGGTATATTCTTCCACTTGTTTATATCTTCCTCTATCTCTTTTTCAATGTCCTATAGTTTTCCTAGTCTTTTACCTCTTTAATTAAGTTTATTCCTAGGTATCTTAATTTTTTTGTTGCAATGGATTTTTTAGTTTCTCTTTCTGTGAGATCATTATTGGTGTATAAAAATGCCATAGATTTCTGGGTGTTAATTTTGTATCCTGCTATGTTGCTCAAGAGGATTTTTCTTAATAGCTTACTTGTCCTAAGGTTTAGGTATTTTCTCTCATTCTCTCTCTCTCTCTCTCTAACATATATTTTTATTGATTTCAGAGAGGAAGAGAGAAGGAGAGAGAGAGAAACATCAATGATGAGTGAGAATCATTGATCAGCTGCCTCCTACATGCCCCCTCCTGGGGATCGAGCCTGCAACCTGACAGGGAATTGAACCATGACCTCCTGGGTCATAGGTTGATGCTCAACCACTAAGCCAGTTCGGGCCAGGCTAGGTATTTTCTTTATGATCATCATCAAGAAAGTGTCTCTGCATGGTCTTGCCTCATCCAGCAGAGTGTTCTTACTCATTCCTTAATATTTGTTAGCCTCTTAGAGGGATTGGGGGGTTGCAGGCTAGAGATGGGAGGAGTATTCTCTATTATTCTGGTACAGATTCAGTCTTAGTGTTACCGGGGAGATGATGAAACCTCGGGTCTTGTCTTCTTGAAGTAAATATTTCAATCCAGAGACAAAGTGTAGCAAAGTAAGTAAGAATTTACTGGCTGCAGCAAAAATATACTTAGGACAGTGAAACAAAGAAGGGCATAGAAGAAGCAATAGGAAAGCCTATGCTGGGATGCTTTGGCTCACTGAATAGTCAGAGAAAAGAGGGCTTGGTGACAGGGCTTGGCAGTTAGCCCTGGACGAACTGCTGCTGCCTATTGCTCCCGTGGTTGCAAGACTTGTGGGACCCTTAGAAGAAAGGAGGGCGAAGGGAATAGTGCATGTGTACTCCCCTGGAGGGGTGGGGGGAGGGGAGTGTGCTTTCTTCTGAGTAAGTCCATGTGCTTTACTTAAAGAAGACAGCACTGGGTCCTTCATTCTGAGCATACTTATCTCTCTCTTGCAGGTGGAAATCTTAGGGGAGGTCTCAGGGGAAGGTCTCAATAGAATATTCATCAGCTTTTCAGGTGTGCCCTGTCATGGTTCGGTATCCACTGATTGGTTGGTGCCACGGCAGGGGGTCATTAGTCAATGTAGCTGGTCCATAGCATCACTTGTCTGGTTTAGCTGCTTTTTTGGGTCTGGAGTTGAAATTCAACTGAGGCCTAGATGTTATCTTTAGGAAGGAAAAGGTTGGGGGCGGGGGGGCGAGGGCGGTATTCTAAACTTGCATGACCAGCAATATACTAGGGACTAGGGGAGGAAAGGTTACCCTGGGGATGAGGTTCTTTTTCCCCCCCAGTTTTGCTCCTTATTAGGCATCTAGGGCTTTCTGGTCTGGTGAGTTTCTGTACCTGGCCCATCATCCTTGCTCTGCTCATGTCTGTCTAACTGCCTATATAACATTGGGTGAGTGTTGTATTCCTGGGGCTCAGGATTGGACTTTTCATTGTCTCTCTCCCTCACAGCAGTGGGGAGATGTCTAGGATTCAGGTATTTTTCTGTTTCTCTTTCATGGTAGATTGTTTTTGTTTTCTTGTTTCCTTTCTATAATCTGTAGGTACATGGGTCTTCATATGTGTCCTAATGGTGACAGGTTTTCGACTTTTCCCCCATGCTTTAAGGCTTTAATTGTGTGGAAGACACAGAGAATGATCTGGGTGGGACTTTGTGCCTTTCCTGCTGGTTGCTGCTTCTCTTTCCTAGGCCTGCACTAGGAAAAAGGCACTCTTTAAACTCTTTCTCTGCCCCCAGTTTTTCTCTTGAGCACACAGTAAGGTCTGTGTAGAAAGCCTGTGAATGGGTATGAATTTATAGTGTTTCTGCAGTTCCCAGAGCTTATTTATCACACTAGCTCCCACTAAGACTTTAGCAAGTTGTTAAAATTTTACCTAGTTCTAGAACCAAGATGACGGCATAGGTAAATACCAGTTCTTACTGCCTCCCACAACCACATCAAAATTACAACTAAAATACAGAACAGCCATCATTCAGAACTGCCTGAAATCTGACTGAATGGAAGTCCTACAACTAGAGAAGTAAAGAAGAAAGCACATTGAGACTGGTAGGAAGGGCAAAGGCGTGGACTGGCTTGGTCCAACACCCATGTGTAGCATGTTTTTAATCAGGAGGGATATCTAGGCTTCAGAGGCCTCCAGTGGTGAGCAAGCCCCACACCAGACTCCTCAGCCTAGGGTTCCAGTGCTGGAAGAGAAGCCCTCCCGAAACTTCAGCTATAAAAACCAGCAGGGATTATGGCTGAGTGACAGGGAGACTGCTGGAGTCCCAGGCAATTTCTTTTAAAGGGAAGCACATGGACTTACTCAGACTCACTCCCTCTGAGCTGCAGTGCTTGAGGCAGTGGCTTGGGAGGATCCAGGGACATATGGAAGGAACTGGATTGTCTGGCATCAGATCAAGAACTTGGGGACAGCTTTCTCCCAGACAGGGGTCCTTGCAGGGGTCATTGTTCCTATGCTGAGACCTCCCCCTGACTGGCAGGCACCATATCCAAGTCTCCACCAACCTGGCTCACACTGTTTGCTCCACTATGGTGATTCCCTGAGATACCACCCCACTCAATTTGCAGCCCCACTCAAGCTGTTTGCAGCAGCTATTCCATATGAATAGCCTGTCCTGGCTCAGGCTTCAGATTTCCTAAAATATCACAAATAGGCATCAGCTGGCATTAGCGTGCCTCATACCTCTCAATAAGAGGCCCCAGGCCCAGTACTAGCAGCAGCCTGCCTTGCTTAACAGCTGGGTTCTCCTGGGCACTTCTAAGGCCAACACAAGTAGCAGGCATCTGCAGATCACTCTGTAGCTCCCGATAGGTGGCCCCAGGCAGGGCACAGGCAGTGGCTGACTTTGCACCTCCAAAAGGGCCCCAGAGCCAATGTACCCGGTGGACAGCTTCAGACCATGCCAGATTACAGCTTTACACATCCACAAGCAACACACTCAAGGGGCAAACTCAGTGAGCACCAAAGCCCCATTGAAGCAAGTCCTGCTCCATAGGGGTGTCTCCTGCATAGCAACTCTTCTGCTGTAGTTGCAGCTGGTCCTCACAGACAGTTGGCCTGGGGGTCAGTTCCTCCAATTGGCCTGAGGGTCAATTCCACCAACAGCAATCAAGGCTCAGCTACAATAAAACTGTGCACAAAGCTGACACTGGTGTGCACATAGAGTGCCCATCTCAGGTGACTGGGGAGGATGAGCCACTGGGTCCTACAGGACACCTGCTACAGAAGGCCACTCTTCCAGTTCCAGGAGACATAGCAGCTCTACCTAATACATAGAAACAGACATAGGGAAGCAGCCAAAATGTGGGGACAAAGAAACGTGTCACAAATGAAATAACAGAAGACATCTCCAGAAAAAGAACTAAATGAAATGGAAATAAGCAAACTACTAGATACAGAGTTCCAAACAATAGTTAATAAGGATGCTGAAGGATCTGAAGGAGAGCTTCAAGGATCGCAGTGAGAATTTCAAGGAAATTAGTGAGAACACCAAAGACATGAAAAAAGATCAGTCAGAAATGGAGGATACATGAATTGAAATGAAGAATAATTGATAGGGAATCAACAGTAGAGTAGAGGATGCAATTTGGAATATGAGGAAGCAAAAAATACCTAATCAGAAGAGCAAAAAGAAAAAAAATCCAAAAATATGAAGAGAGTGTAAGGAGCCTCTGGGACAACTTCAAGCATACTGTCACTCACATCATGGGGGTATCAGAAGGTCAAGCATACTGTCACTCACATCATGGGGGTATCAGAAGGAGAAGAGAGAGGGGAAGATATTGAAAACCTATTTGAAGAAATAATGACAGAAAACTTCCCCTACCTGGTGAAAGAAATAGACTTATAAGTATAGAAGCACAGAGAGTCCCATACAAGAGAAACCCAAAGAGGACCACATCAAGACACATCATATTTAAAATGCCAAAGGATAAAGACAAAGAGAGAATCTTAAAAGCAGCAAGAGAAAAGCAGTTAGTTACCTACAGAGAGTGCCCATAGAACTGTCAGCCAGTTTCTCAACAGAAACTTTGCAGCCCAAAAGGGAGTGGCAAGAAATATTCAAAGTGATGAATAGCAAGGACCTACAGCCAAGATCACCCTCCCTAGGAAAGCTATCATTTAGAATTGAAGGTGAGATAGATTTTCACAGACAAAAAAAAAAAGCTAATGGAGTTCATCACCACTAAACCAGTATCACATGAAATGTTGAACATTAATCTTTAAGAAGAAGAAGGAGAAGGAGAAGAAAAGATAAAAAATCAATAAATACATATCTATCAACAATTGAATCTAAAAATAATAAACGAACAGGGAATCTAGTGAACAAAATAAATTGATGAATAAAGTAGAACCAGAGGCATGGGAACATGGAATAAACTGACAAATCTCAGAGGGTAGGGTGATTGGAGGTCTGAATAAAGTAGAACCAGAGGCATGGAAACATGGAATAAACTGACAAATCTCAGAGGGTAGGATGATTGGAGGGCGAAAAGAGATTAACCAAAAAACATATGCATATATGCAGTACCTATGAGCACAAACAGTAGGGTAGTAAAGGCTTGTGACCCAGCGTGAACCAAGTGGATGGGGGGCAATGGGAGAAAAAAGGGCAACATCTGTAATAGTCTCAACAATAAAGATAAAAACATTTTTTTAAGCTAAATTCTTCTTACCAAATTGTATAGTCTGTAGTGTTTGCCTTGGGTAAGTGAGTACTCTCATCCTGTCCCTCCTTGGAAGCACCTGTCTTTCTTTAGGTTTCTAATTAGTTGCTCTGCCAAGACAAGTTGTGATTATGTAGATAATTGGGCTCTTGATGTTGTAAGGGCGGGGACAGTGCTCTTTCCAGTTTTCTACAGACTTGCCAGACTGATCCCAAGCTTTTACCTTTGCAAATAATTCTTCCATGAGTATCCTCGGGCATACATCCTTGTACCTTTATGTAATTAAGTCTTTAGGATATTCTTAGATTATTTCTCTCAGAGGTTATGCAAATGTACTTCTTACTGTTTGATCAGATTCTCTTCCAAAGATTTTTGTCAATTTCTACTTCTACCAACTGAAAAAACAGGTTTATGCTTGAGATTTCTTTTCAATTGGAGAATTCATAAATTAAATCTTATACATAGTTTTAAATAGTATTATCCCAATTTTTACTAAAGTTGAGTATCTCTCCATATGGTATATCTTAATTATTTTATTGGGTTCTTTGTCTTTTTCTGTTTTATGAGTTCCATATTTGAGCTACTAAGAGTTTACATTATAAAGTTAGTGTTAATCTGATATCTCTGCTTTAAGAAAACATTATATTTTAATTGTGTTTATTTGCAATCTGAAAAAGACTTACTACAGTTTTACGGAAGAGCCTTATACCAATATTTTCTGTTTCTTTTTTTTTTAACATAAATTAATACAGTGCTTTAAACTTTTATTTCTGTTCTGTAAATAAAGGCTTTTTGTTGTTGTTGTTGTTGTTAATCCTCACCCGATGATATTTTTGCACTGATTTTTAGAGAGATTAGAAGGGAGAGGGAGAGACAGAGAGAAAGAAACATTGATGGGAGAGAGATACATCGATTGGTTGCCTCCTGCACATGCCTGGACCAGGCCAGGGATTGAGCCTGCAACTAAGGTATGTGTACTTGACCGAATCAAACTGGCGACCTTTCAGTTTGGGCTCTATCCATTGAGCAAAACTGGCTAGGGCTAAAGGATTTTTTTAAAATATTTAAAGTGAATTGGTGACTGAATACAGGAAAATAATTGACCTACAACAATTTGTTGAATTGAGAAAAAAATTCAGAAAAAGAGGAAAATAAGAATTATATTGTATCTGAAAAAAGTAATTAGTTTTTTATGGGTAATTTGAAAGAGATCTACTTTTAAATTAATATTTAATTTTACATTGTAGTTTCTGAGCATTTGCACGTTCATTTTAGTTTGACTTTGTTATTGCCTTAAATTTACTTAATTCAAAATGATTATATAAAAATATTTTCTCTTGGGGGGAATTAGACTATTATAATGAAAAAATATAATAGCATTAGATGTGGCTAAATGGAACAACATGTTGTCAAAGGAAAATTATTTTCTCCATTCACATTCATCCTTTCAAAGCCCCTAAGTGGTATTTGAGTTATTGTTATATTTTACTTTATTAAATGAGGAAGACTGCATTCGGATTGTGAACTAATATTTTTAGGAATCAAACAATTTTGTAAACATTAATTCAACAAATATGTGTTGAGTGACTTCTGTGGAAAACACAATGATGGTAGAGACATGTAGAGAGCTTGCATCGTAGTGTGGTAGGCAATTGACCTAGTAATTAAGAAAAAGAATGTTAGGTATTATGCAAGAGAATAACAGAAGAGTCTCTATCAAATGTCAAAGTTAGCTGTTGACTTAAGAGTATCTCTCTATTATCAAACTACCCAACTCCCCTATGCATAGAAATCATATTTTTCCTTTCTATTGCTCTAACCTCACCTCTTTGTGGATGGGAAGTGGTGATGTTGTAATGACAGCTATACCCAAATTTTCCCTCAGATATATTACAATAAAGTTGTTGAATTTCCTTCTAAATGTGTACTTTAAAACATGACCACTCTGAGATTTGAGCATTGGTGAATATGCAAAGCAGAAGGAAGAGCTGTTAAAGAGCAAGCAGGGAAAATTCATGATAATCCTAAATGCCACGGCCCAGAATTCCACTCTGGGGAGAACAGAAAGATGGGGTTTTGTTTATGTGTTTCTTGCCTGCATTAATTTTTCTCTGTGTTTTGTTTTGCCTAGGTTATATAGGTCATTGAGCAGGAAGAACTAAAATCTCTAGTATTACACAAAAATGGCTTTGAATAGTAATGAGATTATAATAATTCCTTCTGCTGTACTTTGATCCTAATTTTTGTTTGTTTGTTTAAACAGATAATATATCAAACCCTGATGCTTGGCATGTAAATGTGGTTTTGAATATTCGTCCATCCACGGGCACTGGCGTTATGTTTGCCTTGGTTTCAGGTGACACGGTGCCCTTTGCCTTGTCCCTGGTGGACTCCTCCTCTGAGAAGCTTCAGGTAACTTTATTCTAACCCTTTATGATCTGTGTTTTTTGTTTTTCTTTTTAAATATATTTTTATTGATTTCAGAGAGGAAGGGAGAGGGAGCGAGAGATAGAAACATCAGTAAATAGAGAGAATCATGGATCTGTTGCCTCCTGCATGCCCCACACTGGGGAATGAGCCTGCAACCTGGGCATGTGCCCTGACCAGGAATCAAACCCTGTCCTCCTGGTTCATAGGTCAACGTTCAACCACTGAGCCATGCCGGCCAGGCTATGATCCTTGCTTTTTATTTAAATCTGTAAAATGAATATAATAGCAGTCTTTACCTCAAAATGCTATTCTAATGATTAAATGAGATAACTGATGTGAAGTATTTGGTACAATCTCTAGCACATCATTAAGGACTCAATAGATATCCATTATTGTTACTTTTTTGCTGGCTTATTTCTGAGGTCTGAACCCAGAAGTAAGGGTGAGAAATTGAAAAGCTTTATTGCATCTGTAGCTACGATTAAGCAGACTCACACACAGGCTGCTTGGAGCCTTTCCAGAGTACATAGGGATCCACCCTTATTCAGAATTTTGGAGGAATCATGGGAATTAGTCTGTACTGGCACAATAGAAGTGAGTCTGACTACAATCTGCTCTCAGCTATTCAGTGCCTAATTATAATGCTTGTGTTTTCTGGCACACGTAATCTTTTCTCCCACGAGTAAATTAGGAAAGACTAGAGAAAACTAAAAGCAGTTCACGTGGCTTCTTGCTGGCAACTCTGGTTTAAAATTAGGAGGCAGAACAGGAAAAACGCTGCTTCAAAGGAAACGTGAGACTTATCAGAAGATCTGTATTATTCCACTTTCTATTAGAGGCTGATAGCTCTGTTCTCATGTTACCCACTGTGGATTCCAACAAGCTACAGCAAGAAGCTTACATTTGTGCCAAGGTTGGCGTGGATGCTCTCTGGAGCTTTTAGAAAGAGATATGTAATTGAATAATGTCTGTAGTAATAAAAAGGTGTTGTTTGCAACTTAAAAGATGACCTGGAGGAGTTTCTGGTAGTTAACTGTAAGCAACCTGAAAAGATCCTGCTGAGTTTTTATCTCTAATCTACCACCACAGGAGCTTACCATACTGGGATCGCAGCTTTTTGTTAGCTTGGTTTTTTGTTTGTTTGTTTGTTTGTTTGTTTTTAATAAACAAAATGGAATTCCTATCTTTAACATTACGTTCATGCAGTGGAGGTTAACTCCTGCTGGCCATGCCTTTGATATTTATGTCATCTCTTTGCCATTTGTCTCCATGGCTCCCTGTTTTGGCATGTCAGATTGCTTTCTCAGGATCTGTGTACTTTGTTTTATAATATTATTCCACACACTACTGATCATTCTGGAACATCTTTTCAGCTGACCATCTTTAAGTCTAAACGAGTTCAAGGATCTGGAACATGTAACACAGTAACAGATCTTCTCGAGTAACCTGTATTTGAGATGTATAGACTTAACATAAGCATCTTGGATTCCTGAGTAGGCACTTCAGACTCTCTCTGCCATCTGGGAAGCATGCATCTAGCACTGCATCTCCCTAGTTTTGATTTTATTTTCTCTCTTCACATTAACATTTCCTCTGTACCCAAATAAGCTATATGCATAAATCACACTCAACAAGTTGAGTACTTTTGTGTATCAGTAGTTTGAAAAGTTCAGCAAAATAAATACATATTTTTCCTTTTGAGAATCATCTGTTAAATACTCTGTAACTTACTGCTGGTGATCCCTGTTGTTTCTCTCTCCTGGTTTACTCATTTACTTTCCCCCAAGTCTATAAGATTGCTTAGGTGATACAAAAATCTCTTCAGTCTTACTAAAGCACTTTAAATTTTCCAAGTCTTTTTTCCTAACAAATAGTGTATATATATATGCAAGTCTTGAAGTGAGGAAGGTTCATAAATAGAAAAACATTGCTTAAGACACTACTTTAGGTTCTTGTTGTTGGTATCACAACTCTGATGGTTTATTGAATTTTCAGAAATCACCATACATTTACATCTTAGCTAAACCTTAAGTTTATAAAACTAATGTATATTCTAAAATTATGATTATTACTAGAGGCCCGTTGCACGAAATTCTTGCATGGGTAGGGTCCCTAGGCCTGGCCAGCGGTCAGGGCTGATTGGGGCCTTCCTTCCCCAGCTGCCAGCAGGGTCTTCCTTCATTCCGTACCACCCCCTGATGGTCAGCGATCGAACTCCTGTTCTCCCAGTCAAACTCCCGAGGGGACACTTTGCATATTAGCCTTTTATATATAGAGATAATAATTAGTAATGTTTTCATTTAAATTTGGAGGCTCTATCATACATTTTTTTTCTCATTGAAATTCAGTTTTTGAGTTTCAAAAACCCTAAATCACTCTTAAGTAGTATTACCATCAGTACTTGCTTATACTGAGTCTGCCTGTTCTTTAGGATATCCTGGTATCTGTTGAAAATACGGTAATATACCGGATAGAGGCCTTAAGTCTGTGTTCCAGTCAACAATCTCATCTGGAATTCAGAATCAACAGAACAAATCTGGAGCTGGTGACTCCACTTAAATATGACATCATCTACTCTGAAGATCTTCAAAGAGAATTTGGCATCTTGGACAAAGCAATGAAAGGAAAAGTAGCCACTTACCTGGGTGGCCTTCCAGGTATCTGCTTTTTCTTCAGTTTTAAAAAGTGTATTTTTAATCACAGTGATAGTTGTTAGGGTCACCAAAGGAGGAACGCATGAGGCCAAAGTGGTGAGGGATTATGAATTTATTAGGTCGTCTGGATAACAGATGGGCTGAGCCCCAAAATGATGCCAGCACCCAAATACAGGGAGTCAGAGATTTTAAAAGACTCTAGGCGGGGTTTTTTCCTGGGCAGAGTATTCTCTGTGCAGGTCCAGATCCTGGGAAAGTCCAGAGGGGAGAGATAATGGCCTTAGCAAGTGGAATGTGGTCTAAGGGGAAGGGAATGTGCATTCTGAAGTGGCCTAAAGGTCAGTTCCCAGGAGAGGGGTAGTGATTCAATTATTTGATCAAACCTAACAATAGTATTTTAAATAAGTAATTTTAGTAAAGGACATCAGAGGGGAAAACAGAATTCCTGTATCCATTATTCTTTTCCTCATGGTTTGAATTGACATTTTATTGTACATTTTTGTTTATTTTTTTAAATGTGAACTGAAACTAACCACATTTTGCCTCATTTGGCTATCCTAGCGAGAAAGAATTTATTATTTCATTTCATCCTCATAATAGTCTTGTGAATTCAATATTTATTCTTCAATTCATCCATTCTTCACCCAGTATTACTTAAGAATCTACATCCTAGGCACTAGGAATACAGTAATAAACAGATATGATCCCTGCTATTAAGGGTTTTACAATCTAGTGGCAGAGGCAGACATTAAGATTTTAAAAGATAAAATTGTCCTAACTTCAGTCTCCTTCCATTACCATTTATTTCCCCTTTACCCTCTTCTACCTCTCCCCACCCAAGATATAAATCTGGTATTTGAAGGATTAAAAGAATTTAATCAGGTGGTGGGGGTGGGGATTAGCATTAATAATGCAAATAAAATGGTCTATGTGCTGGAAAAATGGGAAGGGGTTGACATGCTTGAGGAATATAAAGATCAGTATGGTGAAAGCATACTGAGCAGGGGGATGGCAGTGCAGGAAGAGGCTCTGAACTGGGTGGGGGTAGTGGGGAATTAGGAGGTTTGTAGTCCTGGGACAGGGTCCTGAGTCTAATTTTAAGAGCTATGAAAATCATTGCAAAGTTTTAGACAAGCAAGTTGTATATCATCAATATAGCACCCTGTATAATGAATGGAGATGGACAGATGGGAGGCAAAAATGGACAAGATGAGTTGGGGGCTCCTGAAGTAGTCTAGATGAAGGCGCAGTATTAATAACAGCAGCAACAACCGTACTACCTGTTCATAGTTCTTCAAATGTATCCACTCACTGAATTTTCAAAATAGTTTTGTGAAGTAGGTACTGTTATTACCCCATTTTACAGATGAGGATGCTGTTGAACCACGGTGATTGCAGTGGAGATGGTATACAGTGGTTAGATTGGGGATGTGTAAGAGAAATGAAACTAACAGGATTTAATGATTACTGGGGTAGGATCTCCTAGGCATCCGGCATGAGCAGTAGCATGGGTGAGGATTTCACACCAAGATGGAGAAAACTGGAGGCAAAGCAGGTTCATCTTTAACTTAATATTAGAAAATACGAAATTGGCATAAATATTTTACTTTAAATGGCAAAAAAAAAAAATTTGAGGCAGAAAGTTTTTTAAAAGAATTTTCAAATACCTTTGCAGGTTACTCTTATGGGGAGAATTCTGAGTTTGATGTCTGACTTTAATAACCTTCATTCCATTACTTTAACTGATCAGAATCTTCATTTCCCATATATGGAATTTATATCTGGGTTTTGGAGGAATAGAAATAAATAGGCTCTAACAGTTATAGATAAATAGACAGATAAAGATAGTTATGTAAAGTTGGTTGATTATTAGGAAGTTAGTTAAGTTAGCATGGTTAATTATTAGGAATTATAATTAGAGTTCAAATGAGTAAATTCTACATTGAAACCCACTATTACCTCATTCACAAATTATTTGAATGCAGTTTTCAAAAGAAGTGAAATTATGAAAACTTCAGTGGTTCCAGGACTTTGGCAACAGCACTGAAGACTGACTTCAGGCGAGATGGGTTTAAAAAAAGAGGAAAAATTAAGGGGAACTGAAAATTGAGATATTAAGAGTGTATGTAAACTGTGGGATGGGTAAATTATAATTGTTATGCAAAATAGGCATATTAAATTGCATGTTATGAATTAAAAATCAGGGAAAATTGATCATTCTGAGGTATTTTTATAATAGTGGCATAATCCATAGTGCTCAACCACAATTAAAAGGGTTTCTTAATAAATATAAGCCCACAGAAAAGTGTATTGTCAAGTTAGAGTAGAAAATTTAAAATATATATATGTATATGTATATATACATATATATGTGTGTATGTATGTGTATATATATGTGTGTGTGTATATATATATTTGCTTAAGGTACTGAGGAAGAAGAGTAAGGACTGAGAATATCTATTGGGAATTAAGATTCATGGAGTGGAGATGCCAAAAAAAAAAAAAAAAAAAAAAGAGAGAGAAAACAATAGAGAGATAGATGTTTTTACGGTGAACTGTAGTTCTTAGGAATCCAAGGATGTTACCTATGTATTAAATTTGATAAAGAGAGTGAAAGTATAGAAAGCCCCAGAGGCCATAAACTATTCACTGAAGCATCATTAAAATTGTTATTTTTTAGAACCAAACATTACATAAAAGTGAATTCCCTATCATGATCTGCCAATGTGTGCTCAGCAAGAAACTATTTCTTTGGAAAATAAAGAAATTTGCTTTAATTCCAGTAATAATAAAAGAAACATATTTATCATGGCATTTAAAAAAGATTTCTAAGTAACTATAATTTAGAGTTGAAAAAGTGATTTAACAGTACTTAAACTGTTGCTCAGATTTAAAGAGACAATAATGAAGTTCCACATTATAAGTAAGAATGTGCTCATTTCTCCCAAGTGTGTTTATCTTAGGTTTGGGTGGAACTGATTGTGTTTATGAAATGAAAGGTACTCATGTATGCTGAGTTCAGTGCTACGCACAGTGCCTTATATACATAGACTCTCTTATATAAACTTATTAAATAGAATTACATTATTAACTTTTCCCTTAGGGGTAGAATTTGGTTGGAAATGGGAAGTTTGAGTGATTCCTCTAAGTGTAAGCAAATAAGATGGTAAAAATCTTGGGATAATTTTTTTAATATTCTCTTTTACAGTTGTTCCATTCAGTGCAACGCCAGTGACTGCCTTTTTTAATGGCTGCATGGAAGTGAATGTGAATGGTGTACAGCTGGATCTGGATGAAGCCGTTTCTAAACACAATGATATTAGAGCTCACACATGTCCATCAGTTTTGGAAAACAAAAAGAGCCCTTAAGTCATCTTTTGTCTGCTGATAACATCTTTTTCCTGGGTGTAGTTATACTTACATTTCAATAATAGTTGAAGGGTTTTACTTATGATGGGCAGACCTTAATTATGTTATGGTACTTTGTTTGACCTTCTTGGAATTTTAAAAAGGTCCTTTTTTGAGAAAACAAGATTCTCTTGTGATATAAATCACATTAAAAAGTTCTTACCTCTGTTGCTGCCTAGAAATTAAATAATGAAAAAACATAAGAAAGTTAATTTGAATTTTTGCTACAAATGACATTTCTTCATTTTTATGTTTGTAAAGGTAAATTTTAATTGTGTCACCATGAACTAGTGTCTAAATATCTAGTTTTCTTGGAAGGCAAGGAAGTAAACCTAAACAAATGTTCATGAGACTAAGTACTATTGATCATAGCAGATACTATTTTGTTTTTGTTTCTTCCTAATGAAAGCAGAAGAGACAGTGGCCTATTAATTTGAATTGAGTGGGAGGCCTTACAGCTTTATTCCAAAACAACTCCTCAGGGGCACCAGCTTCGGCTTCACCTTTCTTTCACTGGCTTCACATTTGAACCAGTAGTTTTACTGAATTAGAGAACAAGTGGACACATTTTCAGACAGCAGCACATGAATCTTATCAGTTACTTATTGGATTCCACGAGGATGAGCTACCAGATTGTGCTGGGATGGGTGTGGAAACTGGGAGTGGGTACATTCCTTAAATTTGACTGTGCTGGTCACACAAGCTCCAGATTAGAAAAAGTAGAACTTAATGATGGAAAGAATGAATGATTCCAACTTTAATTACCGGAATTAGTTGCCAGAATGTGATTGTTTATTGAAGGATAAAGGGAACTATGAAAACTAAAATAGATTTTAATGAAAGAGTAACAACAGAGGGACATAGTTAATATTGTGTCTTTGGAGAAAGTAGTTCTATCACTCCTAAACCTGTGATTCACATTAAGAATGTATCTTATGTTTCATTGACAGTTTTAGAGAATAAACTATTTTTTCCCACTAGAGGTATTTTATATCATGTAAAACATAATAAATTGCTGTATATTTTTAAAATTTATATGAATGATATCTATATTCTATCAACTCTTTGAACAGAATATAAAATTATAGACCTGGCCAGGTAGCTCAGTTGGTTAGAACATTGTCCTGATACTCTAAGGTTGTGGGATTGATCCCTGGTCAGGGCACAATACACCAGTCAACCAATGAATGCATAAACATGTGGAACAACAAGTCTCTCTTTTTCTCTCAACAATCAATAAATTTTTAAAAATTGCTTAAACAATATAAAATTACATAGTATGCATGTAACTCTTCATGCAGCACAGTAGTTCTTTAGTTCAAAGATAGATAAAGCTCAAATATCTGATGAATAGTTATGGCTGCTTTGTACACACTGGAGCTGAGAAAGGAAGAAAAGCAAAAGTCACATGTATTAAGTATTTGCCAGAAATTGTGCTAGACCATCTTAATGGATGTAATTTTTCTCCCAATTACTACCATGTACTGTGGGGAATAAATTTCAGCAAGCAACTACTGATGATTACTTTGGTGTAAAAAACTAAGGAAGTGGAGTGGTGGCCTGTGTGGCTCAGTTGGTTGGAGCGTCCTCCCAGGGGCGCACACCGGAGGCAACCGGTGGATGTTTCTCTCTTCCTATCCCTCTCTTTAAAATTAGTAAAACATATCCTTGGGTGAGGATTTAAAAACAAATAAGTAGAAAAACTGAAAGTATATGAAGAGAAAAAAAGAATGGAAGAAAGGGAAAAATGAATTTTTTTTGAGAGGGGAGCTCTCTGATTCTCATTTAACTATGCCCCACTACACTGAACTATACAGATCAATTCCACATTTGTCATTAGAAATAGAACCTTCCAACGTGCAGTAATCTTCTTAGAGGCTCCATGTACTTATTTATAAATTTCATCTATCTTTGAGATGGACTCACATGTGTCTTAGAGAGAGAAGGTGTCTAGACCTCAGGCTAAGAATCTTTCATTTGACCTTTGATCTTGATGTTTGCCAAGAAACACAGATTCCTGGTTTTAAAGAGAACTGTGGTACTGAACATTATGCAAGACAGGTTGTAGATTGCCAGCTTGCTGATTTAATACATTGGAAAGTATAGATCTGCCGCAGCATGCCCAGGTGCAGTGTTCCTGAAAGCATTTGTGACTCATCCGAAGGGGGGCATTTAGATACAGCAGGTGTGATGACTAACAAGGATGAGATTTCATATCTGCGGGAAGGCATGGCCAGAAAGCCCAGGAGGACCCTGATAGAATTCTTGGTTCAGTTCAGGGAAGACGGTGCTTAGTTCAGACACTCTAGAATTCCTTCATTCTGTCTTAAATGGGTAGTTGAGCTTCAAAATATTTTGCAATGGATATGAAAATCTGTTAAAGGAAACAAAAGATAGTATTTCAAATATAGGAAAAAAATGAAATTTGTATGCCTTGATTTGTTTTTTTCATTTTTATGCAGAGATTAAAAAATATAAAGCTATATGTTGCTTAGCAAAGATTTTTAAGATACCCTATATGTAGGATGATTGATTAAAAAAACAAACGTAATCACTTTTCAGAGTATATGTTCTTAATTGAGGAATGAACTTGTATTTCAGATTTGTGATGCCACGAACATGAACAAACTAAAAGTTACTGTGCAGTTGTCAGAAACAATAAATCCAGATTTTTATGAAAAAATAAAAAGAACAGTGGTTTATATTTGGTGCTATTTGAGCTTTGTGTCATGAAAAAATCCAAGTGACAGAGTCATTACAGTGTCCCCTAGAACTTACTATTTTCAGACAGGTTATGGATCAGTAATAATAATGGTTCATTTGTGAGAACAGAGTTACTAACCTTGGTTTTCCTGTCTGAAGTTTTAATCCCTGTATCAATCCCTGTGAGTCTTACAAAGTATTTCCAATTATCTTTTCATTCTGAAACTGGTATTATTGATGGGGAAATTTTTTTGGAGGGTATGTTTGTTTAATAATAGACTTTTCTTTGGGAAACCCCTTAAGCCTTTAATCTCTATAGTCAATACAAAGACTGGGATATTGGAGGTAATTTTATTTATTTATTTAACCCTCACTGGAGGATATTTTTTCCATTGATTTTTATTTTTTTGTAATTAGCCAGTTATTATTTTAAATCTTTATTGTTGAAAGTATTACATATGTCACCTTTTTTTCTCCCATTGACTCCTTATAGCCCACCCCCGCCCCCATCCCAGGCCTTTACTACCTTATTGTCTGTGTCCATGGGCTATGCATATATGCATACAAATTCTTTGGTTGATCTCTTCCCTCCATCTACCCACCCACCCCTGCCTTCCCTCTGAGATTCATCAGTCTGTTCCATGCTTCTGTGTCTCTGGATCTATTCTGTTTATTCATTAGATTCCACATAAGAGTGACATCATGTGATACTTGTCTTTCTCTGATTGGCTTATTTACTGTAGCATAGTGGTCGGCAAACTGCAACTCGAGAGCCCCATGCGGCTCTTTGGGCCCTTGAGTGTGGCTCTTCCTAAGCCTTAGGAATACCCTAATTAAGTTAATAACAATGTACCTACCCATATAGTTTAAGTTTAAAAAATTTGGCTCTCAAAAGAAATTTCAATCGTTGTACTGTTGATATTTGACTCTGTTGATTAATGAATTTGCCGACCACTGCCTTAGCATAATACTTTCCAGGTCCCTCCATGCTGTATCAAAGGATAAGAAATCCTTTTTTACTGCTGCATAGTATTCCATGGTATAAATGTACCACAGCTTTTTTTAGCCACTGATGGACACTTGAGCTGTTTCTAGATCTTAGCTATTGTAAATTGTGCTGCTATGAACATAGGGGTGCACACATTCTTTTTCTAATTAGTGTTTCTGGTTTCTTAGGATATATTCCTAGAAGTGGGATCATTGGGTCCAATGACAGTTCCATATTTAGTTTTTTTAGGAAACTCCATACTATTTTCCATAATGGTTGCACCAGTCTATATTCCCACCACCAGTGTATAGGGTCCCTTTTCTTTACATCCTAGCCAGCACTTGTCGTTTGTTGATACTAGCCATTCTGACAGGTGTAAGGTGATACTTCATTGCTATTTTAATTTGCATCTCTCTGATGATCAGTGACTTTGAGCATTTCTTCATATGTCTCTCGGCCATCTGTATGTCCCCTTTGTAGAAGTGTCTATTTAGGTCCTTTGCCCATATTTTAAATTGGATTGTCTTCCTTTTGTTAAGTTGTATGAGTTCCTTATGTATTTTGGATATTAATCATTTATCGGATGTATTATTGCCAAATATGTTCTCCCACATAGGGGACTCCTAAAATTTCTTGATGTTGCTATTGATGATATGGATTTTGGATAAGACAGGGTCACTAAAACCTCTAGAGACAAGTGTGAAAAATTTCTAATTCATTCATTTAGCAACAAATATTATTGAGTAATTACTCTGCGTAAGGTAGAACGTCTGAAGAGCTAAACCCAACTGAATAGGAAATGACAATACTCAAGTCAGCCCGTGGTAGGCCTCATATTCCTATTCCTTGGGGTTTCAAAGCAGGTTCTTTCAGGTTGTACTAAGAAATGGAGGCAATACAACTTTTGATCATTGCTTCTACATTAGAGTAGTTTGTTCCTTACAAACAGATTGATTTGACAGTGATCTTACACATGGGTTACTAACTATTATCAGGTTTCAAGCTTTCACAGAGAATTTATATTTGAAAATTGGGCTTTCTTCAATGGAAGAGACATTGGTCAAAGGTTCATCCAGTGATGTACTTGGGTCCACTCCTAGCTCTTGGCTATCTTGTGTTCATGTTTGTAGAGTATGACAGTGAAGGGCAGTTTCATGGATCAGCATCCTATGTGGTTTTCTGGTACATATTAATATAAACACTGCAAGGTCTGATTACCAAATCAGATTGATACCATGAAAAGACTGAATCAAGATAATGTGAAGCTAAGAAAGTCAGAAGTGGAATGAACTGAGTATGGAGTTGTTTGGAACAAGTAATACCCTGAGGCTGTGAGGCATATCCGGAGCCACAGCAACTACTTCTGCAATGCTGCAGACCTGCCATGGTATAGCAATTACCTTGTGGATGAGAGTAGCATCCAGTGAACTTACAGACTCACTTCTGTGTCCTGCAACTACTTTCCACAGCAAGCCCACTCAATAGATGACAATAGTTCTATATGAGAAATTGTACAATACAATTTGTATTTTACTGGTGAGAAATCTTTACTGCTAAAGTTTCAAATGGTGGAATCTGAAATCTTATTCTGTAACTAGAGGCCCAGTTGCGCTGAGGGGGGTGGGGGAGGGTTCCCTTAGCCCGGCCTGTGTCCTCTCGCAATCCAAGACCCCTTGGGGGATGTCTGCCCAGGGATCGGGCCTAAGCCAGCAGTCAGACATCCCTCTCACAGTCTGGGGCTCTCGCAGTCCAGAACCCCTTGCTCCTTACTGCCCACCTGCAGCGGAGGTGGGAGAAGCTCCTGCCACTGCCGCTGCGCTATCCAGCTGTTGAGTCTGGCTTTTGGCTGAGCAGTGCTCCCACCTCTGTGCTTGCCAGCCGTGAGCCCACTGTGAGCCTTTGCATGGAGGTCAGTGCTGCGCTTGCCAGCCATGAGCCCACCGTGAGCCTCTGCATGGAGGTCAGTGCGCCTCATAGCAACCAGTCATTCCACCGTTTGGTCGATTTGCATATGAAGGTTTTATTATATAAGATTAGTCTCCAGATGGAAAAACAGCTTGGTACATTTGATCCTTCTTCAAGTTGATTTGAACAAAAGGGAGATTAGGCTAATATTTAACTGACATAGGGAGAATCTAACATTATTATCTGTAGTTCCCTAGTCATAAGCAAACAAAATAATAAATTATATAAATGTAAGTAATAAATATAATGCATATTAAAGTGTAGTTAAAGCCCTATTGAACCTTGGGGTTGATGCTGGAGCCTTCCTGAGCCAATTTGGCATGTACAAGGTAGCCACAGAAGACTAGTAGCTGGCTCTTCTGAAAAATAGGCACAGACT